AATGAGGAATTAAAGGCAATTTCAACAAATCAGAACAATTAAAACTGTGACATTTACAACCAGATCAAACCTTTTCTTGTTTGACTTTTAATCCTTCTTGAACTTGAATTCCTACGACATTTCTGAAAAAATACTTTACACCACTGTCATTTTTCTGTCTGTATTCAGTGGTCCACTCATTACAAACTCGTGCTGTGCAGCCAAACCTTGTTATTAGGCAGATAACTTTATTTTAAATTCTACTGGATAGCATCAGAGTTTCTAAAGATACAAAATCAGTCAGATTTTTGAGGAGATGTGTTTAAATGATGCACAGAGCATCGGGCACATTTTCATTTGTGCAGTGTGAGTGGTGCAGCTATAGAAATCATGGGTTTGAATATTTCACTCATCTTACAGCATAAAAGCTACTTAATTGGAAACAAAAGACATTAAACTAATATTAGATGTTGTAAATATCTAACATTGTAAATATACTAAACTTTTAACTTTCAAACATTTAAGGTTTTTCCCTTTTTAACTGCAGGAATAATCCTGAGCCTCAAAGGAAGATTAGTGTTTTATTAATACAGTGTCATTTTTCCTATCAGCATTTTGCTATTAAACATGATTAGCATGCACAGTAGATTACTGATCTGTATTGTGAACAAGCAGGGGATGTTTAAGCAAAAAAAAAAAAAAAAAAAAAAAAAAACCACTCCCTCTCTTTCCCTGCAGCGAAAACAATGCTGTATGAGGGAGAATATTACAGAGTGTGCTGCAATGATGAACATTTCCTCCTGTTTCATGTTTAACCCTGCTCATTTCCCACAGTAAGAACTCCGGAAACACACAAGTGTGCACAGCAGCTTGGGGGGAAGATGACTGATGGCTTGTTGTCATGATGTTTGGGATTCTGCCGACTCGAAGCCTCTCGGCTCACTGAAGCTGTGAAGCGCTGCAGTACATACTACGGGCTATTGTTGAAAAGTCCTCGTATTAGCAACGTATTGCTTCATTGTCACACTGTTGAGCCTGTGCAGAATGCAGTTATCTGTAATGTCCCTGGCCATTTGCACAGTAGTTGCATTGGATTTATGATTATGGTTCATGTACTGTGACAGATTTCATACCATTCAACAATAAAGCAAGGACAATTATTAGAATTTCACACTGTGAGTAGATGGGGATTTTTTTTTTTGTTTTCAAAAGGTAGTCCCTGGATTGTGTGTGGGCTGGGTATACACTAAGCTAAATCTTACTTCTGACATCACTATTTTTCAAAAATGTCAATATTTGAAAAACCCTGACATGCTCTATCAATCATATAGATAGCCATCTTTCAAGCGGTCAATGTGCCACACTTGAATATCTGTTTCTGCCTCGTCTTCAGCCCTGCTCTGACCCCCCCCCTCTCTCTTTTTTTTCTCCTGCTGTATTTCTCTTTGTCCCTCTGCCATAATACAGCTCTATCATGGTGCCACATTGATGAGCCCGAGCTCCATAAACACGGCATAGATGGCTGTCATCTTCCCCTCTTGGAACTGCATTAAAGGCAGTGACCTCTCTGGCTGCTGGTGACAGTCGTCTGTCAGCGCTGGTTAATTCCCAATCTTGTGAGGGTCAAGAGCTGACATATAATGAGGCTTGACAGTGTTGGAGGGCGAGACAAGGGTCTGGTGTCAACAGCAGCCATAGCATCATGTCAGCAGCAGCAGGATGAGGGTTCAATGAAAACCATGGAGGTAATCCGAGCGCGGCCGAGCTGATCCCAGGGCCATGACTGCCTATTGACACACATCAGAGCATGGATGCAAAACAAATTAGCATCAGTCAATATTATCTCCCTCCTCCTGCCTCCTGACACAGCCACCCAAGTGCTGCCATGTTTACCTCACCTCCAGTCAAAACAATAAAGACAATGGTGATCATGATGGAAAATGCCTACACTCAGTTTTAAGAGGATGCTGCTTTTAGGCTTTGAGGGCAGATATTCAAATGTCTGGTCTGTGTGTAAATGAGGTGCACGATTTGGTTTGAGGGATGTAAAATTCAGAATTGTATTTGTGGCACCCATTTCACCTAAATTGTGAGAAGATTTTCTTTCTTATTTCTGAAGCCATTTCATGCAGAATTTGTGGTTTAGGGGGAAACAAGCTGTCCAGAGGAAAGAGCCTCAGCTCAAGATCACCTGTTTTTTTTTTTTTTTTTTTTTTTGTTTTGTTTTGTGTGTGTGTGTGTGTGTGTGTGTGTTTGTGCTAAATGTGATAATATAACTTCTGTTGCATAAAGGTGCCGGGCAGTGATGTGGAACAACACCTCAAATATGCTAATCAAACATATGGCACTTCTAGGAACAAACACGGATTGCTGTCCTTGTCCTACAAGATAAAAAGGTTACTTGGATTTGAATGTAATTTGAATGCGTCCACGAGCTGTAATAGGCTGAGGCTGCTTCATTTTTTTTATTCGTTTGCATACGAGAAAGCAGAGATTGCTCACACCTGTTTTCCCCTCTTCTTCTTCTTCTTGTTCTTCTTCTTCTTGTTCTTCTTCTTCTTCCTCCTCCTCTCCCCTCTCCCGCCACCCTCCCTCTGCTGAAAGCCATTACAGAAATACAATTTCTAATACCTCCGCACAGGTCTTCGATCGACTGCAAACAAATTTATATTCAGGCGGTAAACAGAAAGCTGCAGAGATTTATTTATTGAGTGTGGAGGAGAGAAACAAGCTAGCGCGTGAACCCTGAGTAACCTCCGAGCTGACATGAAGATGGATCAGTGCACCATGCAAATGCATGGAGAGAAGGGATATATTGCACTCAGTCATTCAGCACATCGCTGCCTGTAGAATCCCATTAACTCCCACAGCTGGGACCATATTTCTGTGTTGTAAGAATGCGGTTAGAAGTTGTTCATTACGCTGAATTATATTGTAATTACTGCAGACTTAAAAGACATAGGGAATACTGTTAAAATAAAACGATAAGAACAGGAACACAAACTAGTTTTACGTATTTTTGTATATTATTAAATTATATGGGTGGTTGCTTAGTACTGTAATCTGAGACATAATGATAATAATAATAGGCAAATAATAATAATAATAATAATAATAATAATAATAACAACAACAACAATAACAATAATAATGGCATAATAATAATAATAATAATAATAATAATCATCATCATCATCATCATAATAATAATAATAATGGTCTGTAAATAACATATTTCATGTATTAATTATTATAGTCATTAATTATATTATTTTGTATTATATTAGGCTATTTTATTATTTATATTATTACTTTTTGGCAAAGGAAAATTTAGGCCGAACATAATGGCAAAAATTAAATAAATAAGTAATAAATAATTAGGAATTTAGGAATATCCTTTCAACATGAATCCAGCATCATTGCTCTTCTTTAGTTTAATACCGTTCAAGACAACCACATGACACATGACTGAAACCCATACAGTAAAAGAAAAAGAAAAAAAGAGAGCCTATTTTCAAGTTTCGTGTTTCTTTGATAATCCACAATTATTGTTCTTGTTCTTGGAAGTATAAGACGCCCTGTCTTCACTGTGGATTAAAGGAATTAAACAGCCTGGAGATCAGACGTTAACACTGGCACATCAGGATATTATTAGCTGTTATTAAAACTGTATGCGAGCAGGCTGAGACTCTGTGACGCGTGTATTTGAAAGTAGGTCAACAAACTTGTGCTGCTCTCTGGAGCTCCATGACATTTTCACTTCTGCACTGGAGGTGAAAACACTGGCTCTGCTCCTGTAGATCTGCAGCTGAACCAAAACACAGGCAGCTGAGTTGTTTGCCTCTGTGTGCGTGTGTGTGTGTGTGTGTGTGTGTGTGTGTGTGTGTGTGTATAGTATTTTAAACTCATCTGTGCATTTTGCTTCGTGTTGTTTTTCTGTCACTCCCACAAGTTTAAAGCCGCTTCTGGCACCATTTGCATCACACAGTGAACAAACCGATGTGTTGAAAAGGAGCACGGTCCTAAAAGCGGGTCTTGGGCCTCTGTTTGTCGAGCACAGATGAACACGCTCCGTCTGATCCAGCCGAGGAGCCGCTTTAACCTGGGACGAACATGTCTCCTCTGTCAGCTACAACTTCTTGATCTCCTGCTCGGAGCCGTTTTAGTATTTGTTCGAGGCTAATTACAAATCTGCTGCCACTGAACTTCTAAATGCGTGCTGTCACGACCTCTGAACCCATTAAGTGTGCCTTTCACATGACCTAAGCCCTTTGCTAAAGAGGGCCTCGGGTTTTTCAAGAAGCCTTCACACATTTGCATAATCCATTAGCTGCATCAATGTAGGCCTATATTATGGTAATTCAGCTTTGGAAAAAGAGGCGTCATTGTTGTCTTGAAAAATAATCATTATACAAGAATTCAACCCAAAACAGACTCCCTTCTGTTGAGGGCAAAAAAACTGTGTATGATTTTTTTTTTTTTAAGATGTCTGACGTCATAGCCTACCTGTCTGAATAGGTGAGAGGCCCATGAAGGCCCTCAGAGTCTGCTGATGATGATGATGATGTTTGTGGGGTTTTTTGTTATGGCCTGCATGGCGCTACTCTTCGTGCTCGGACAACAGTAAATTGTTGACCTGAAGTCAGTTTCACAACTTGCTTGCTCGGCTTTAATCAATGTTGTCCTCCCTGATGACAGAGATGTCCAGCTATTGGCCGAGACCAGGAGGGCACGTCATCTCCATCAATCAGGGACTGCTGTTTCTCCTCTGAGGAATGTCCCCGCGGTCGTCCAGCCGCCTGACCATGCGTTACTGGATGCATGAGAGGCCGGGCATGAAGTGCAACCCCGTCCAATGATTATGCAGGGGAGAGGTGATAATGACTTCCTATCAAGAGTTAACGGCCGAAGGGGAGAGTAGCCCTCTGTTCACGGGCTGCTGCCGAGCAAAAGAGGTCATAAACCGGGACCTGGGCGGCAGGACTCATCCTGAACTCGCCAGTCGTGATGAGGAGGGAAAACTGGAGATGGAAGTTGCCTCAGGATTTAATTCTCCGCATCCCCGGTACTTAACTCTCTCCAACACTTTGACTCTGTGCACCTCTTCGGACAGCCCTCCTCCTCCTCCTCCTCCTCCTCCTCCACCTCCTCCACCTCCTCCTCCTCCACCGTGTGAGACTCTCGAGGGCTTCTCGACACCGGCCTGCCCCCACTCGTCCCGTGTCCCCTGGCGGTGCAGGGCGCAGGGGCAGGGCTCTCCAGGACGCGGATACTGTGCGTCAAATATCAGCGAGACGCGACTCTCCGACTTTGGGTCACATAAAGAGCAATTCCACGTCTACTCTCACAATGGCCCCGAGATTCACGTCGCCGTGGGGAGTTCAGCCGGCTCGGACTGTAACGTGGCTGATGTGGATGAAAGGAGTAAAACTTTTGAGTGGATGAGAGTGAAGAGGAGTCAACACCGGGCGGGTAAGTTTTTCTCAAGGCAGACTGAGCACGACAGGAGGGATAAAGTAACCTTGAGACATTATTATTCAGGTTAAATGACTCTGATGTTTTAGCTCGGGATAACTTTCTTTCATAGTTGGTGAAGTTTGGTCGAAGTTTTCTCCACAAGCTGGAAAAAAGAGAGAGAGAGAAAAAAAAGCTGACGTGTTTTGTGCGTCATCGAGCACAATTTCCTCCGTCAACAAAAGTTGAATTGGAAAAAAAAAAAAAATTCTCCACTTTTTATTAGCAGATCAAAAGGTAAGGAAGGGAGAAGTAGCTGTGTACTCGACGCCACATTTGAATATGCACATCAGCACTCGGTTTCTATTTCCTTAACGGTTCCATGTTAATGTAAATCTGTTCGGTTATTTAACTTTGTTGCTCCACCTACTGTTACAAGCAGGATTGAGACAGTGCACACAGAAGGAGAGTGACGTACAGTAAAAGGCCTGCTCAGCCTCAGCGTGTCTGCAACACAGAAAATGATCAATTATTTACCCTTGCCCTTACTTACCAGTAGCCTTTGAATAATGCAACAGACCACTGCCTGTCCAGACTCACAGGAAGTTGAGTAAAACTTACTCTTGTAAGCTGGAGTGCTCCCTGAGTATTGATTAGTTGTCTGTTTGTAATGAAAGCCCTTGTGTATTGATTTCAGTTTGCAGCACCTTTACATGTGTCCACCTTTTTAACATAATTGCTGTCACAGATCATCATTTCCCTGACTGATGAGTCCTGGGCAGAGAGCCCACAGAAGAATACACATCCCAGGCTTTAAAAAGAAAAATACCAATAGCCTACTAATGTGAAAAATGCCTATCAATCTTCAATTTTATGAGTTATAGTATTTTATATAGATCCTTCATTTGATCAATAATGTCAGTTGACTGACTGACCGCTGTACTTGGGTTGAGTTTCATAAATTTTACATGGAGGAAGATTTACAACAACGGTGGTCCAGCCTTCTTTCTTTCTTTCTTTCTTTCTTTCTTTCTTTCTTTCTTTCTTTCTTTCTTTCTTTCTTTTTATTCTCTCCACAGAACAGTCTGTGTTTGCTGTGAGGTGCTGCTGACCCAAATGTTCAGTGACCAAAAGATGCAGGTTGCTCATTACCACAGACTGTTTGTGGTAAGAGGCCTGAGTTCCTCTGTGAAGGGATGCAACAAAACACAAAACTGAAATAATGTGGCCTCGAACACATTATTTCTGGAGCCCATGATGCAACATCATGTATCCACACCTTTAATTTGACCTCAGCGTTGTGCGTGATGCAACACACGCAAAACTGCACTTTTACAGCATTGAAATAATGTGCATTTGACAGTCTGTAAAACAAAAACAAAGCCTGCACAATTCTGATGATGAGGGAGGCACAAGGTGACATCAAAAACCTTTAACTTGTCTAGGAGTCATTTTATTCATAAACACATTAGCCACTCGTCTGATCCACACCCGTGCACTTGAGAGAGCCATTTGCTCACACCCACCCACGCACACAAAGACGTCTCCTCTCAGTACTGTTAGTATCTGTGTAACCTCTTTCTGTATCTCTCTGAAGGGGATCATCTGTAGGAGTAACTCATTAGCGCTACTGTGTAACTTGTAAAAGAGTCATTATTGAGAGTATGCCTTGCTCTGGAGGTTGTATTGGTTTTGGCACAAAACAAAGTCTTGCGTTTTCCTCCATGTTGAAAGGCCTCCACAGACCTGCTGTAACCTGATCTCCTGGCTCAGTGTATATACTCCCAGTGCGTCATTCTTCAATTATGCTTTGACAGCACCTGAATTACTGTGGGCTGGATGCCCAGATGACTGAGGCAATGTGTATCGATCTATCCCTTTTCTTCTTCCCTCTCTTTGGCTTTGGAAGGCCCTTCCATTCCCTTTGCTGGCTGGCTATTTTTAAACGTGCAAGTCATTCCTCAAATATTTAGTTTGATTCTTTTATGCCTTCTGGCCGGCATCAATTCTATTATCTTTGGAGCCATTAATCAGAATGTGCATGTGATTTGCACTCCTGAAAGCTGAAGTTCTTAATTACGCACAGTTCCTCTGTATTGGTTCTTCATATTCTCTGGCCTCTAATTCTCAGGCTCGGTTACCTTGACATTCATTTTCTTAAAACACAGATGTCGACATTTATCCTATAACTGACCTTTCCATCTGCTGTGCTTTTCCAAGTGGCTAGAGGCCTGTTAACCTTCCTCTCTATGAATTGTGGTGGGAAACATTGGACTACACCTGGCGCGCTGACTCCATTATGCAGGAGGAGAAGCAACACATTTCCTCAGAGGCAAAGACACACTGACGACTAGCCACAATGTCAGCCATGAAAAATCAAGATATAGCTGCGCTTCCTGTCATTCATTGCACATAAGTAGCACAGATGATACTTTAATGTGTAACCCAGAAACCTCAGAGGAAAAAAATGGAGACATTTGTCATTAATACAGTGTTTGAAAGGATTTGTAAACTGTTAAACTGTCATTGACACAGAAAGGCCTAAAGGCAAATTATTAATGATTCTGATGAATACAGTTAATGGACTGTAAACGTTCAGCTGTAAAGTTCTTTTGATTCGCCAAACATTTCTCTGACAACTTTCGTACATATACAATATACAGCAACATCTTTTTTTTTTCATCTGTCAAGCACACAAACCTTAACAGTATCGTACAACTCAGTACAACAGCCCTGCAGTGGACGTGAAATGTCATTTTTCAGGCTGTAGCTTTGTGATGTTGTTTCTTTGGATTGCATGATATTGCACAGGTGTTTCTGTTATTATGTTCACACACAGTTCCCCCGTCTGCCTGCTTCACAGCACCAAAAGATTTTTGCAAAGCGCCTGCAGCCCACTGCTAAAGTTGATGCCTCGGTGAAGTACAGCTTTGTTATACAGAGAGATAAATGGCTCCAGGGCGAAACTGACAGGACACATCTTTTTAAGTTTCTTCAAAATAATTTTAGGTCCCTTGAACATTTGATTAACTTGATTGCCTTGGTACCAAACAAACCTGTGGTTATTTATTCAATTTATACCCCTCATTATCTGTATCATCTCTAGTAAACATTCTTATTTAATTTGAAGATTTATACAAAAGTCATAATATAATTGACTGTGAGCAAAGTTTATTTCACAAGACTTTTTCCTGTTTGAACTCTAATGTAATTTTTCATCTTATTTCCTGCATATGGGCGTGGATAATTTTATTCAGAAGGGTTTTGTGCTTCTTTTGTGAGTAACCTCATTGAGCTTGCTGACGACTGTTTTCATGTCCTCTGTTCCCAGCCAGGACGCACATGACCTGTGGGTTCAGTATTGTTGGCTCGGGAGTCGGTGCTGTGGAGGCTGGAGGAGGCAGCAGCAGCAGCAGCAGCAGCGGCGGCGGCGGCGGCAGCAGCAGCAGCAGCAGCAGCAGCATCTGCCCGGATGGCCATCCCACGGTGAACGGGGCCCCGAGGACCAGCTTCAGCACTAAACAGCTGACCGAGCTGGAGAAGGAGTTCCACTTCAACAAGTACCTGACGCGGGCCAGGCGGGTGGAGGTCGCCAGCGCCCTGCAGCTCAGCGAGACGCAGGTGAAAGTTTGGTTTCAGAACAGACGCATGAAGCAGAAGAAATTACATAGAGACGGGCTGCTCTGCGACCCGGGGCCCGCGGCTCCGCACTCGCACGCCGACACTGTGGACACCTGCCCCTCTCCTGGACCGAGCTCGCCAAAACACCTGCCCCTGAACTCGTGAGCCGCTGGGAGCTGCGTCATGCCTTATGCAGCGAGGGCGCCAGCCTGCTGATGTTTTGATTCGCGTTTGCATCGCTTTCAATCAGGCATCACCTTTATTTGCTTACCACGATGGATGCTTATTGCAAGAAGCGCAATGGCAAGTTTCTTCATGCAAGAACGGGTCAAAACAATTTGTCATCCTACCCGGCTTCAGACTGGCGCTCTGATTTGAATATTAAAATTCAAGTCATTGCATTGCGCTCCTATCTACACAGTGCAAACGAAGATACAAAGATATATTAATTGCCCATAGAAATGGTGGCAGACTATTTGTTTATTTATTTTGTACAATTTATTCAGGAACAGACTTCACTCGAATATATTTATTCAACAGGACCACGCGCTTCCTTGCTTCTTTTAAAATAACACAAGTGAATTATTTTTATTTATTCAAGGTCTACATTTGATTATATTTATTCTATCGACACAGAAAGACAATAGCTACATTTATTGCAGGTTTTTACAAATGATTCCACCAACCCACACTGCTGCTTCCTCACTAAGCTTCAGTTCAGCATTGTGGAGGCTTCTTCGCCTATTTCTTTAAAACGCTGTTTGTCTCTGACACTCAGACGCACCTGTTGTAGACAAAGCTCATCTTTTAACGCGATGCGTTAGCGGATAATTATCAGGCTAATTTAGCAGAGCTTCAGTGCTGCTTTAACGCTGTCTATATTTTGTCCTGTATTCAGGTTTTCACGATCCTCAGCACACGGAAAGATTAAAATGCAGTAATTGACTGATAGATTTATTGACCGCTCGTTTTAAGAGTATTGATCCGTGGTGATCCATCTATTTGATGCACAAATCTGGGAGCATTTGCATGCATCTGTAACTGCATGTTAATGGAATGTAGAAATATGACGAGCGGGAGTTGTTGCGTCTTTTATTACCACTGTACATGCATCAGAAAATGATAATTTAGCTTGAACACTCATGCGGGAGAGCAGACAATAAAACGCTGTCTGTGCTGTTTTGCAGATCAACCAATAAATTGTGTGGCTCCAGCAGCTAAATATTCCTTCCAGATTCACAGCTCATCTCAGAGACAGTAAATGATTATAAACTCGGCCCTTAAACACTGTTATGTTCCCGGCATCACAATGCATTTCTATCATGTTAATGTCTGTTTTAATATCAAGATATGGTCCATCAGCCACATTAATTTTATGTTGGGGAATATTTTTGTTTAGCTTTCAATTAGCAGCGTGTGCACTGGAGATGAAGGTAGCCAGAACATATTAATGATGAAAACTTCAACTCAAAGCAGCTGGGTTGTTGTAGCTTAGAAATAAAAATCTTTGTATGAACTTTATAAACAGGTTTCTTCATTGGAATTAGACATGTAAATAAAATACAAATAACAATAACAATAATAATAATAATAATCATTAATAGACAACTGCACCTCTGCAGGGCGCAGGAGTGGACATGAAGGCTGCAAGGCCAAGCTAATATATGCAGTTACACCAGAGTTCACCCCTCACCTCTTGACCTTTGTCTTGCCTCGGGACAACGATGACCCGGTCAGCGGCTCAGAGAGAGAAGGGTGGACCATTAATTTGGGTGACCTCGAAGTCTGAGCTTTTTCTCTTTCTTTCTTTCATACGTTTTCTTTTTTTTTTCACCCCAACAAGCAACTTGGAAAGCTTTTGTTCTGGTGGTGGGTCTCTATGTCCACACAATAATATTTCATCCAGCTGAATAGAAGGGCGACCAGGCCATATGATAATTGTTCATATTATAATTCCATACCAGGCCAGATAATGCATTTTTTTTCCTACACCTAGAGCTAACCTAATTTTTGCCCTAGCTCTTATTTTAATAAGTCAAAAAATATTCTACTGGCTTACTTTATAAACTGGATGAAAGAGTCTTTTCACCCAGTAGGTTTTTGGATATAAAGCACAGACCTATTTTTAATGGTAAAGTTGAAAAATTAAAGATACTTGAGCATACTCAACACTTAATATGATTCCATGTCAGAGCCAGAATAAACAAAATTTAGAGCAGCTATTCATTACATGCTGATTATATATTTCATGCATATCTGCTTGAATAATTTTTTTTGAAAAATCCAGGCATTAATCCCTCCCAAACAATATCTCTTATAACGTTTGTCTCGTTAATTTTAACTGAAAGCTAGAGGGGAATAAAAGTTCAAACTTAAGGAGCGTCTGACGGCACAAACGTTTAAAAGTTTTATTTGTAATTGATAAGAGGGATTTTACATGCAAGCTAGGCTGAAAACGTGTTGAACCCAATTTATTTTGAATTTGCATTTAAACAAAATACGCACCATTAAGGCTGCCTTCTCTAAACAAAATAGTACAAAGTGGAATGTTTAACAAAACTATCAAATGCGCCCATCTTTTTAATGCAAATAAGTGTGCACTTGAAGGTGAAGGTTATGAGGATGATGATGAGGATGATGAGGATGAAACAATGTGCCAATGGTCTCTTATGCCCAGTGTTCCTGCTGAGAAGTGTGTTAGTTCGACCTGGTTAGAAACTCTTTTGTCATCTTGTTAAAATATGTCCCACTGCCACATGCAGGGCTTCACCTTACAGGCTGTAATGTGCACAGAGGATGCTTGCAGCAGGTGTGCACTCAGACTTTTTTTTTTTTTTTTTAAATCCAAACTTACTTCCTCACAGTTCCTACTGAATAATAGATTCACTTAGAAATAAATAATTTCAAATAGCAGCAAGGAAATGTGTGGAGAGTAAAAGTTAATGCGAATCATAAGGATGAGGTGAATGTAAAATAAAAAGAAAAAAGAAGAGCTGATTTATTTTGGGTGAACTATCACTTTAATTTCATTCTGTGGCAGCTTCAGCATTTGCCTCTCAATTGATGAAAGGCGAACCACATTGTTTGTTCAGACCTGACATTTAGTTCGAAAAGCATTTGAGTGTGACTCTACTCTGATGAATTTGTGCTCTTCTGTAATTCCTTCCTGAAGATGTACGGTTGGTTCAGGAGACTGACAGCTGTGGAGTGCTTATACATGGGCAAACACATGGTAAATGTGAGGGAAATGAAACCAAAATAACTCAGAATGTACTGCCGCCACAGGTAGGAGCCATGTCAACTTTGAACAAGTTTGAATTTTCCTCATCTTTATCCCCCCCTGTTGTTTGTTTTGTTCCTGCATCTGTTGATTCCCCCCCCCCCCCCCCCCCCCCCTTTAAGGCAATCGTTTCTTGTGATGAAATTCATTCCAGATCTAGTTTATTTAACTAATTCATTTAAATCAATAATAAACATATTTATAATGAAATACAATAGCTCTTACATTATTTGTAAAAGTGAAGTCACTTGCTACATTTTCCTTTGATGAAACGCCAATTGAGATATTGAAGAGGAACCAGTGATGTATTAGTTCACGATGAATACGGCTATTGACAATCTCTATTTTCCTCTGTATTGTCTTCTCTTGCAAGTGAGCTGATGTTGGCAGCGGCTGCAATTCTCCTGAGGAGCACTGTGTGGCATGAGCAATGAGATAACACATGCAGCTTACAGAATAGCTTACATTACATTTTAAATTAACAGATATAAGTGGGTTCCTACTGAGCTCATTGTAATTAATGCTAAGTTGACCTAAAATTAACTTAATGCATAATATGCATGTAATATCCTCACCGGTGCTCGGGGGAATGAAATCAATTGATCAAGTTAAGCTCTTTCTAAGTCTGTGTGAAGCACTTATAGATAGCTCAGTTGTTGTTGTAATTACTAATCATTTGAATGCTCTCCTCCCTTTTAGTTTTTCTGCTCGTCTGATTTTACTGTTTTTTTTTTTTTATTTGCAAAGACTTTCATGCACTATTTGTCTTTTTGATCGGTCTCATTCACGTATTTGACTACCAAACAATTTGTACATCAAGAAAGTTGAAATGAAGTGCACCTGTGTGTGTGTGAGTGTGTGTGCCTATTATATATGTGGAGGCCCTGTGTACAATTACACAAATATGTGTTTTGTTTCCTAGGTGCGACTAATAAAGCGCACAAAAAGATACAAAGCACCTATTTGAATAATTGTTTGCTCACGCAGGCATGCACACATGCGTTTGCACACACACACACACACACACACACACACACACACACACACACACACACACACACACACACACACACAAATCCATATGTAACACATTCTGACAGAGCTACACTGAACAACATGCACACCAATCCAGTCCTTGCCTTCCCTCTCGTGCTCCACTCCAGGGAGCAGATGTTTGGGGACAGCTTACAGCCTCAGCGAATTTGTGTGTACAAAGCAAACAGCAGCACTCAGCACTTCTGGCTGCAAAGGGAAATTTGCTCTTGAAAGGGGGGAGGGGAGGCTTTTCAGTCAATGTAAGGTATCATGAGGATGGGAAGTGAGGGGAAAAGAGTGAGCAGGGGTGCACGCAGAGGTGAAACGGTGTCAAGGTTGTGAGTCTGTTGCATAGGAAAATTCCCTGTTTCCTGAGACATCTGGTGCCGTGTGTCGGAGCAGTGCAGGACGGCCTCATGTGCGGTACATACAGTATCACCCTGTGGTATCATGCAGCATCAGTGAAATCAAGCAAGGTGGCCCCACCACGTATCTCTGATTGTCTCTGACCTCTCCTGTGCGGCTCTGTCTCCTCACTAGTTTGGGTTGCCCTTTTAAAAAGTTGCACACAAGCACAAAGTGAAGGGAAAAAATGGGAAACAATGCAATGAGCCTTTACAGAGTTTGCTGATACTGCATCTGAGACATCAGCTATAACCTAGGACCAGCTACGCTAATGATGCCATTGATATAATCTTCTGATTTAATGACTGGTCCAGTAGCTGCCAGTGCTCTCTGCAGTTTGCATCCTTAAGAAAAAAATTTAATAATATGACAAGACATCTCACAGAATTAATAATAATTCATATACAGTAATTCTATTAATAATGTTGCAAAGACATAAATAAATACATGTTTGCAGTGCAGAGTTAACACATATGGTCTTATGTAAATAGGCTCAAACATACACATTCACCACACTATCCAAACATGTGTACAGGAACCCACATTGTGACCTCTCACCACTGTTTTATAATCTCTAAACAAACCATCATAAATGAGCCCACGGATGCTTATTTATCTGAACGAAGGCAGCCCCTTCCTCCCCTGCCCCTGGGGTGAGGTTGCCATAGTGACAGATTCATAGACATATGGAGAGAGAGGAGAAGGGGAGCTGGGTTGAAGGGGTGGGGCTGCAGGGGTGTGGTGGAGGAGGTGGGGGGGCAGAGGAGAAGGGGATGGGTACTGGTTTGAGGACGTTGGCGTTCTGTCTTTCAGATTTGTCTTTGTGTTTCATCTGTCAATCAGCTGTCTGAATCAGCTGAGGGAACAGTTCACAAACTTTTCTCAATCAAGTCTCTGTCAGACGCCATCTTGGCTGTGTTTCATGCAGGAAAGGACTGATTCTCGTGTCGGCTTCACAGCCCAAAAAACATGGTATGTGCACAGGCAAATAATTCAGTGGAAATGTGTAATATTAGATTCATCTGGCAGGCGGCGTTCACAGTTTGCAGTCTCTGGCCATTTTGTTGTTTACACTAATGACTAATCAACATTAGAAAAACAAACATACAGATGTTTTTGCTCCTCAGTAATTACATTCAGATGATGTAATCAACCTTCCAGCCAACCTGAGGACAGCTTGACAATGGACAAGGAGAAAGGGAGAGAGGGAAAGGGTGAGAGAGGGACTGGGGGGGTGGGGGTGGGGGGGGGGGGGGGGGTTAGTTGGAGGCGGGCCATGCAGGGACTGGCCTTGCTGCTATAAAAACACATTTTTTCATCAGCCGTTTTATGCAAAAGGGGAAGACCAGGTGCTCAATCAAACCTCACGCCTACTGTTTTATTTTTCATCTTCACCCCTCCCAGTGCTTCTCCGCACAAACCTTCTGTGTGCCTTCCCACTACCCTCGCACCATTCTTCTCCTCCTCTTCCCTCTCTCCGTGTCATTCGTCTTCCCTCCTGCCTCTCCGCTGCCTGTTCTCCAACTGATATGAGAGTGACCCGGCGGGCCCTCAGGGGTCAAGTGATACAAGGTCATTGGCAGGTTATCTCTGCTGACTGGCTGACCTCTAAAAGGACTTCTGGAAGGAGCCAATCAGGTCTTGCTCCCCCCCAAGGCGGATCCCCCCTCCCCAGCTCATCAGCAGCCTGTGTCACATGACCAGGGCGAGGCGTCAGA